AGACCTCAAAGAGCCAGTGCAGTCTGACAGGCTCATGTTCTGCGTTCCGCTGTTTGACAATAAGTCGCCTTCCGTCCTTGAAGCCCTTCAAGAAATTTACCTCTACTTGCGGGCACTCAATCTTCCAGTTTTGCGTTTGCACACCGATAGGTCGCGTGAGTTCATGAATTAGGCCACTCGCAAGTGGTTTGCAAATCAGCTCGTGAGGGTCACCACAACTGAGGGTGATGCCCCAGCCCAAAACGGCTCAGCAGAGCGCACCATCAGGTGGCTTAAGACTCGGGCACGAACTCTGCTGCGAGCTGCTGATTTCCCGCCACCCCTGTGGGCATGTGCAATGCGAGCTGCTGCAGCGCAGCACAGGTCTGAGGTACTAGGTATGGCCACGAAGCTTGCAGCGCCTTTTGGTGCTAAGGGCCTGGTGCGCGTGAAGGCCTACACGTCTGTTGCAGTTGCTAAGGGCGAGATTGCCGAACGGTGGATTTCAGGTCGGTATGCGGGTTTATCTCCAACGGTTAATGAAGGTCATTTGGTGTACAGGGATGATGGCAAAGGCAATGGGTTCACACAGTCGCTGCACGTGAGAACTAAGGTTGTTGAGCCTCCTGAGTGCCCTGAGCAGTTTGAGGGCGAGTCTGTCCCTGTAAGGCGTCGCGTTGTAGGAAAGTCCCGGCCAGAAGCAGAGCTGAGAGCTGCCCAGCTCGGCTCATGGACGTGGTCTGAGCTTGAAGCTGGCGCAAAGAGTTTGCTGCAGGAATGGGATCCTGAGGGTGCCAAGAATCTCCTCATGAGCAGCATCAAGCTGGAATGTTCCGTAGGGGGAGGGATAGTAGGCTGTATGCGATCGACTTGGAGTAAGCCGTGGCTTGCCTCACTGTGCGCGCGCCTGTTGCAGCATCACGCACCTGATATTACCTTCACGTCGGTGTGTCTGTCCAACTCGTGTCAAAAGGACATTCACACTGATTCTTCCAACCTTCCGGGAACTACAAATCTCATCCTACCAGTGTGTCTTCCTAAGCGTGGGGGCGATCTTTGGGTTGAGTTAGGTAGTGGGGATGTTGTTAGGGGGTCTATTGTAGAGCACACTGATGCACGAGGTCGCAAGCGTCACGGTGTGGTGCACAGACTTGAAGAGGATGAAGTTTTCGAGTTTGATCCTAAGCGGCATCATTTCGTAACTCCCTTCAAGGGCACCCGCGTTGCTTGCGGAAATGTGGCGCCAAATACAGGCTTGGATGTGTATGCTGGAGGTGCTCAGGCTGAAAGCTTGAGAACAGTCATAGCTCTTGCCAGCTTCTTCGGTTGGTTGTTGGGAGTGTTGGACATTACCAGTGCGTTTCTCAAAACGCCTATCCTTTGCCTTGAAGGTTTTCCCATCTTTGCGTTGACCCCGCCTCGCTTGTTGGTCAAGCTTGGTCTTGCAGTTGCACATGAGCTGTGGATACTATCCCACGCGGTTTACGGCCTTCGAGAGGCCCCGCGCTTGTGGGGACAGTATCGAGATGCTTGTTTGGCAGCGTTGGTGTGGGACCTTGACGGCGTGACCTACCGGCTTGAGCCTTCGACCCTAGACCCGAACTGGTGGAAAGTCGTCAGGGTTGAAGGTGGTCGCGTTGAGGGCGCATTGTTGGTGTACGTTGATGACTTCTTGTTGTGTGGGTCGCTAGGCGTCCTTCAAAATTTGGCAAAGGCTCTGCAAGAAAAGTGGGCCACAACACCGTTTGTGGTAGCTACCCCAGAGCAGCCGATCAATTCCTCGTGGGTTTGTCCTCTCACAGCAGTCGTACGCAGAAGAAGTCTTGCGGCTTCATGAGGTACCTTGCCACGTGAGGGGTAAAATCCCTTGTCCTCGAGAGCTAGCGTCGTTTGAAGTTGGCGAAGGAGACTCCAGCCCCCCTGACGGGGAGGCCATTCACCGCGCGCAACAGGTGACTGGTGAACTGCTGTGGTTGTCTCAACGTACTCGCCCGGACCTGGCGTTCACTGCCAGCTTGCTTGCTAGTTTGTCTACGAAGGCGCCTTGTCGTGCTCTACGCATTGCTGACCGTGCCTTGGCTTACTTGCAGCGAACCAAGACAGCGTCGCTGGTGTTTGAGGCGGACGGAACCCAACTTCACGGTTGGAGTGACGCAAGCTTCTCGCCAGAAGGCCTTCGCTCACATGGAGGCTGGTGCGTGTGTGTGCATGGATGTCCAGTTGCTTGGAGGTCGGCGCGTCAAGCTTTTGTGACACTTTCTACTGCTGAAAGTGAACTCACTGCTTCGATTGAGTGTGCAATCGCGCTTGAATCAATTGGTTTGGACGTTGCGGAAGAAAGGGTTTGGCACGTTGATTCCCAAGCGTCACTTGCGATTTCTGACGGTCATGGATCATGGAGAACGCGACACCTACGGGTAAGAGCTGAGTACCTTCGTGAGCAGACTCGCTCTGGGAAGCTGAGGCTTGCCTTCTGCCCGGGTGTGGAACAGCTTGCAGATCTACTGACCAAACCTCTTCCGTCTGCAAAGGATTGAAGAACTTGTCAGGTTGTGGGGCATGCGTGACTTTGCGGGTGATACAGTCGACCGAGAGGTCAGGCCGAGCTCGTCAGCAGCTGTCGACCCAGTCGCGTTGAGTGCCTTGTTGTGTTTGCTTCAGATCCAACCTGTGCGAAGCTCGAGCCGTGAATCCGAGTATCCCGGCTTGCAGCTTGATGGATCCCTGGAGCTTTACTTCGTTCTTGGCATGGCATTGGTTTGTGTCGTTGTTGTGTGGGAGTGGTTGAAGAGATTGTGGGATCGGCTTGATGCGTGGTGGGCTGGTTCGCATGCGTCGTCTCGTCGAGCCCGGCGTTTGAGGCGTATGCAGAGAGCTGTTGAGGATGAGCTTGCTGCCCAACCGCAGGGCATGAGTCTTGAGGACATGTCTTCCAGACCGCCAGCAGGTGAGTCCACAGCTCACAGTGAGAGGGCACGTGTGCCTTCGCAATCCTCCCACGAGTTGCCTGCTGCACCACGGCCCAAGGCCTCACAGTCTCGTCGCCGCCCTGCAGTGCGTGAACAGTCTACCCAAACGGATCGTGAGCCTGCCTTTCAACCAGTCACAGGAGTCCCACCAGATCCGATGCCTGCCAGGATCGAAATCCGCACGCAGTATGAACTTCCCCAAGATCCCTTTTACTTCACTGCGCATGGGGATTGTGTTCATCTAGATTCTAATTGTTGGGGTTTAAGGCGTAATACACCCTTAACTACCCGCAACCTGTGTCGCGTCTGCAGGGACCGCCACCGCACAGGTCTCTGAACACGCTGAGGTGCCAGAAGGTTCGAGGTCAGGTGAAGATGACATGCTGTAAATACGCAGCTTGTGGCGTCGCCCTGACGAGCGAGCCAAGGAGGAGTGTTGAAAACGCTCCAGCATGTCAGTGATCAGCACTTGTAGTTTGCAGTTGTGGCTAGCTTTCAAGGCCCTTGTATAGCTGCTAGGTACCTGTAGTCTGGAAGTGCTTGTACGCTGTTATGCTTCGGCTCGTAGGGGAAGGCTACGAAAGGTAAACCTCTTGAGCCATGTGTACTGTAACCAACAACTTGTAAAGCTGTACAGTAGTTCGTTGGTTCTTTGGTGTCCTTGTTTGTGGACGTTCAGAGTGAGATTCGCCTCTGCGCCCAGCCATAAAAGATCTGCGGACTTCGCTACAGGAAGCATGGCAGACCCATCACTGCAACAGATTCTCTCTAGCCAAGAACCGAGCTGAATTGGACTGGCTGGAACTGCAGACCTTTGTGGCAGTGCCATGCCACTAAGGCTATCTTTTCACCATGCTCCATCGGAACAGCTGGCTCCAGGACAACGTGCTTTTGCCGGGGCTCAAGGCACGATCTGCCAGCGAACGGGCCCAAGAAATGGGACAAAGAGCTTTGCCTGCTTTCGCATTGCTTCGGAATTTGGACACGGAAGCGAAGGTTTCGACGGTATCGAGTCTCAGATCTCCATGCACGTGCGCTAACACAGGCGGAGTACTTCTACAACCTGAAGTCGGACCGCGGGGCTTTGGGGGGAACAGCTTGGAGTTACGCAATGCTCCGAACTTGCCTTGCGATGTTGCGCATTCAGGCAACTGGTAGCCAGGGTCTTCGAAGCTCTTGTTGCCTGGATTGGGTTGGAGAGAAGTCAGGACAGCTGCGCGATTCCAGATCTCACGTGGCGCGCGGCTGACAAGGCGTGGCAGACCCGGGGCCTGGGGCCGCGATAGCGAGAGGATGTGAGTTTCTCATGTGAAGTCGATTCGCCACGTGCTTTTCCGATGGAGGCTAGGAAGGCCGTTGGACCGTCACAGGCGCTCTGACCCGTGTCAACTGCAATAGCCTTTCAATCATGCTGATGCTTTTGCCAATAACACACTTCAAGACATGTGCTCTGTGTAAACTAACGTGAGTTCCCATCGTATCCCCGCCTCAAAATCCTTTCTGGACAGTGGTTTCTCAAAGTGGAAACGATTACCGCCGCAGGTGGAAGTTATACCGCAGCATCTTGGATGGAAAAGATGCAGTGTTCGTGCGAGCTTCTTTGTATCGTTCTACGTAAGATCGAAAGCAATCCATCAACGTGGTCTTGAAGCGGTAAGAGCCTTCGGCGAAGCCGAGACTGTCTGGACCCCGGACACGGAATCTTCAAGACATCCCAAGCCAACCTGTGAACGAACTTCCTGAAATGGACACCGTGGCTTACTGCTTTAAGCTTCCCTTGGAGCTTGTCCAACATTTGGAGACACTCGGCTTCGAGCATAGGCAGTGGGTCTGAGTCCTGCTGCAGGCTGAACTTCTGGTATTCGACCAGCTGGGCAGGCCTCAAGCACAACGACAGGTACTCTGCCAGGACGAACAGGGTTGGGGCTTCTGGCTAAGACCAGCTTGCTTTGGGTGCCAGGAGCAGGTCTACCCTTCCCGCAGCTTCACCTCAAATCCTCCGAACCGTAACGCTGCCCACAGCCATGTGAACAGATTGTTCAACCACGGAGGATGAGTGGTGTTCTGATGATCAACGAGCCAGGCCAGGCTGCGAGCAAACCCCGATGTAGCATAGCTTCGTGCTTCTGAAATCTTAATCTCTCAAATGCTTCTCGAAGGGGCTGGGGTAGCAACGCCACAGTCCGGCAACCGCCGATGTTCGACCTTGGCAGAGCAGAAGTGTCTCCCTTGCTCTGATTTTCTCCCCCCGGGCAAATGCCCCTCTCCAGCCGCCTTCTTCGCAAATGGTGTCGCGACTTCAACGAAATGGTACGCATAAAAGCCCTCGAATCTTCTGCCCATTACCAGGCACGAAAAGCTCTCAGCCCGCAACGCAGCAACTATGCCAAACTGCTGAAGCTAAGTGCGTTGACGTTTCGTTAGGTTGGTACCACCTCTGGATGGCGGCGGACGATGCCTCCCGCCTCTTCTTAAATCACAGAGAGGCAAGCTCAGGGCTGGTGTGGGTTCCCATGCGGATGGACGGTCGCGGTTCTAAAGCAGAGCCCTTGAACGGTCTCAGAAGCCTCCTATACAGCCCCAGGGCCCATCTTGCACCCCGACCTAGCTTCGACGTGAGTTCACGGGCCAGGGATGGCCATGGGGGTTTCTCCCCAAAAGCCGCGAAGCATCCAAGCCTCGAAGCCGTGCTGGGTCAGATTGGGAGCCTCCGCGGCTGTGGTGGCACACGCCACAGGCACATAAAGCAGAAGCTGACAATGGGGAGCTGGCCAATAGAGGCTGGCATGGCGGTCTTTGGTCGTAAAGCCACAATCTCCCCAGTAGGCTGATGCTTAAGATCAAAACCTGAAGAGGCCTCAGTCCGATCATGAGTCCACGTCTTTCCCCGACCGTCTGAAGTCGAGGCAACACCGTATCAACGACCCCGGTGGCGACCCCCGAAAGTTGAACATGGGGATGGTACGTGCTGGCATTCCCTCTACTTCACCTTGCCGGCATGAGGATGATTTGTGTTCCATGTTTCTGGCGTCTACTGCAGAAGTGTATTTTTTAGATGTGTATAGCCACTGTGGTGAAAGCTTCTCTGTGCTCTGCCCAGTGGAGGACACGGCTCGAGTCAGATTCAAAGGCCCTCAGCACTCGATGTTGAATGGAAGCAGCGGACTACCGACAGGAAGGATACCCTCACCTTACGAATCAGAACGAAGGAAGTTGGTTAAGTTTTGAGGTTGCCTTTTGGGGCTAGGTGGGTGTATGAGACTCTCAGTTGGAGCTTGGTATCCCACAATTCCTCGAATCGCTTTGAGGTCGGAGGCCTCGGCGAATCAACACTCCAATCCTGCCAGAAAGAATCAGCCCACACAGCCTTGGCTAAAGAATTCCCTGGGTCCGTTGCGAGCCCCGTGAGGTGCACTTCTACGAAGCCGCGGGACACGCCTCAGCCCCGGCACGAATCTGTGCGACTGCGAAGTCCAGTGTTCCACACGCAGGCTTACATACCAAGACGCCTCGACAAGGCTTCCCTACGCCTGGAGTACCAAGGGCCGGACACGCACAACAAGAGGGTGATCGTGCCAGGGCACCCCGGCTGCCGGAGGGCTACAAGTAGAAATCTCTCGTTTCAGCTCTGGTCGGCATTTCGATGTCACCACTAGCTGGCAAGGCTGGCACCTCCAAGGATGCTGTTTCAGGCTTGACCGCTCCTTTGTTCTACTCCAGATGCTTTCAGCTGAGGACTGCTTTCGCGCACATGGCGGCTCCTTCGCTGCCCATACTCATAGCACCATAGCATTGACGAATACTTGCGGACGTGACGGGCGACTTCAGGGGTGTCTCCGTGGTCAGACAGACTTTTCAGAGTCTGTGGAGCTTCGTTCTGACGGGCGTCAGAGTCAACGACTTCTCAGGATAAGACCATGTGGATGCCGACCTCCGCAATTGCGCGTGGTTGTATTGGAAACACGGCCCTGGGCTCTCTGTGACCGGGCTCGAACTCTAAGGCCACAAAGGAACTACACTTGTAGTGGTATCTTCTTGAAGACTGAAGACATTGCTTTGTGCGACACGGGCTTTGTGATGCGTCAGCGATTCAGTTCGCAGTGCGGCTGCGGGTGATAGCGTAGAAATAGCAAGACCTTTTTAAGTTGAGACGGCTTCTAAAGTTGGAGGCGAGCTTAAGCTTCGGGGTGTCTGTGTTCTGGCTGGGCACTGCTCTGATTCGGATGCGGGTGTACAGCTGAACTTCAGACGCTCTGCATACATGATGTGGTCCAGAGGGGCAGGTTTGCAAGGCGACAGGCGCTGTCAGCCTACTCGACACGAACGCATCGCTCAGCCCTGAAGCTGCTTATCGCCACGGCAGTTTGTCGGCCGTCACGACCCCTGTCAGCATCTCGCGTCTGCGCTTGCGCTCCCTCAGGCAACCAGACATGTTCCTAGTGAACGACTTGGCCAAGGGAGTTCCAGTGGCCTCTCGGAGAAAAGAGCTGGAAGATTCTTATGCGTGCGATGAAGCAATGTCGAATGCGAGCTCTGAGATGCTTACATGTCGGTGAGAGATCGTCCGAATGCCTTCCTTGACAGCGGCAGCCCAAAGTGCTGCAAGCATTCTCATTTTCTTAGGACTAGACACGTCAAGTCCTCAGACAAACTCAGGACTGTCGCTTCGTGCCCTTGCTCTCGAAGGATCTGCCTCCTGCCCAGCAAAGCTGGAGTGTTTTCGATGGACATAGTGCCCACAGGGTCAGGTCCGAGTGCTGCGTGAGGGCTTCAGGATTTCCAGCACGGGCATTCAGAAGATACTCCAGCAGGAATACTATAGATTCTGGTCGCCCTGATCACCAGGGATGTACAACTGCATAAACTCACTGTAACAGTGCGCCAATGCAGGAGCTTCCCGTTCAGATTGCCACGACACGCTCTTTCAAGGAGAGTTGGCTTGGGGTCCCTAAATCCTGACCGTAACAGCCACGTTGCGGGCTCTCACACGTCGGAAGTCTCGGCAGCCGAGCATGAAGTAAAAGCCGAAAAGGAAGCCGAAAGGGTCACATGTCAGGACAGCAGCTGGCCTCAATGGTGGGAGGATCTCGAGAGCTGGGTGCCATGTCTTTGTTTAAGCAGGGAAGCCCGCGGCCGCCGGTCACGGTTCCGAACCGAACCGCGTTGCACGTCGTCTGAACTAGGATGGAGATGGAGGTCTCTTGCCGGCTCATCTGAACGCCAGCGGACAAGGTTCCTGGGATCGGTAGCTCAAATGTGAAGTTTGTGAGGTGGAATGGCAGGTGGTGGCATATCATAGCCAATAAACATCGTTCGGATCAGACTGTCGAACGCAGCATCCAGCACACCACCCCAGACAAAGGAACATTTTTTCGAGTCGTAGAAACAGACATACCTGACACCTCGAAACAAGCAGTATCTGCTTTGCGCGGCCTTAATCCAACATCGCTGGAGTCGTAGTTGCAATGAGCTTTGCCGAACCCCGATCAGTCTCTCAAGACATGCACCGCACGGTGCAGTAAGTATCAGTTCGAAAACGTCACAAAATCACGAGCATGGTGCCTGCAGAATCACGGAGACGTGCATCTATTGAGCCACCCGTGCTCTACTCATTGTCAGCATCATGTTGATGCACTACTTCCCCACAAGAGTTGCCCACGGCCGTGACTCGTGTTTAGAATCATGTGGCCCCCACGGTCGTGGTACTTTGTAACAAACCTTTCGCACTGCATGTCTTGTCAGCGCGCGGAATTGCGCAAGCAACTGTCAGAGGTTTGTTGTGCTGTGACATCAAGTCTCGTGGGCACCAGTATTACACTTCAGCATCACCTCCCATATCAGTTGCATCCTTTCGTTTTGTTAGTGGCCATCTGCTCTCTTCAAGACTGTCGTTAGACTCTTCTTGCATGTTCCGTTGGTGTAGATAACGGCAGCCGATCTAGACAAATCAGAGGCTGATCGGCACCGGACCAGAAGCGACTCAACTCCGCAGCCTTCCCGTACCCGACCGAGAGTCGTGAGCCTCGTCTCCCCTTCAGCAGTTCAGGAGATGGCATGTCCTCAGGGCAAGGTGCTCCAGTCCTTGGACATGCTCAATGCCGCCAGGCGGCAAGCCCTTAGCGGCGCGCGTGCCAACGGCGTTCCCGTCAGTCTTGCCCCGTCACTGTGAGGTCAACAACAAGCTGCAGGTGAAGTACACCTGCGCAACGGCCTCGGGCCTCGGATTCTCGGCCAGGAAGTAAGATTCCAGCTTTGTTGCAAGGTTTGGGCTTGATTTGGCTTCGTCGTTAACCAGCGGAGGAAGAAGCAATATTGCAGCCGAGGACAGTGCTACCCAGCTTGGACGGACCAGCAAGACGCGCACGAGTTCAAGGACAGTGAAACTGGAATGAAATTAGCAGGCAGGCTTTCAAGGCCCCACACCTCACTAACTACTGAGTTTCTACACATAGAAAGCCCTCGCACATGGAGCCTTGATCCTGAATATCCGAATTGCGAAGAGGGGGCGTTCGAGGTCAGGGTTCAAGGCTGAGAGAGTCGCTCACGGGGTCGGTATTCGTGCGCGTGCAGTTGCTTGATGACCTCGGGCGCACTGAATCAAGGTTATACCAATCCCACGACAATGAACATGCGTTCGTGCATATTGACACATTGTCTGCTTTCAGTCGAAGTGCTCGCTGCATATCCGCTCCGTGTGCACCGAAGCATGTGCATTGACAAACAGCTAGACAGCTGAGCAGGAGCATTGCATGTGTGTACATACGCATGCTTGTATTCATTCATGTTTGTACTTACATACCCAGGTGTTTTTTACATATTTTACAAGGCACTACTACTATGCAAACACATGTACACTTAGTAGTTGTATTTTTAGACACACGCACACATAGTATGTACAACGTACATACTAAGCTGTATATTTGTATTGCTATATGACTTGCACCCTACCAACGTACACTACATATTTGGTTCATTCAATCGTATACATTAGGTATCATATATACTTATGTACATCATAAACAGGTTACATAACACACATTACATATTGAGCATCATGTATGACATGCTAGAAGACATAGTTGCAGTAAACATTCATTCTGTTCTACATACTGGCTCTGCCATCTATTTGTTCTGCCGTGCTCTGCACATGCATGTGTGCTCAGAGCTGCAGACAGACCAACTGAATGCATGGTACTATGTTTATTCCGTTTCTCCGCACGCATGTATGCAGTTGTACATCTCGAGGCATATATATATATATATATTTGACCCCGATTTGGGGTCCCCTACGTTTTTGGCTATACCATCTGACTCGGTTATAACCACCCGACTAGGTTTTAACCAGCCCACTAGGTTATAATCAGGTATACGTCATCGAATATGGTATTGTATCTATATGGAAGAGCTCGATGACGATGTCGACAATATAGGCACCCTCCCTTGCATTTCTGCACTGCTGTACTATTGTGGAATTCATATGGCTTTGAGTCCAACTCGAAGCCAACACAACATATGCAGCATCTAAGTCTCTATGGATGATTATGGATGTTTCTCACCGTGTTCATTCCAGGGCGTACCGTCCCCCTACAGGTGCTACGATTTCGTTTCGTTCCTCACCAGCTCTTCAAAACTAGTTTGAAGACCCACCCGGGAAGTTGCAACAACCCATGCTTTCAGAATGCTGAAACCCGCACGCCCTCGTCGAAACCCTGTTACAATGTGCTAAAAGCCTTGAATTGAAGCCGTCGATACATCTTCGTATCTCATCTTTGTGTGACTGTCTCTAAACCGCTGTATTTCAGTTTTTCCAACAAATGTGCTTTAGTCATTAGTCTGGTTCAGTCATTCCCTATAGCAAACTAGGTTTTGGGACCACAAGTTTTCCATCTTTGTATATACTGTTTTGCTGCAATCCCATGAAAATCTCTGTGTTTGGGCGCATTGCTATGACGTTTTGGCAAACATATAGCTTTCAATAGCATATCCCTGTGCCCCTATGTGAGTGCCATTAATCACTGGTCTATCCGGTAGGTATATTTGGGTGTTGCATTCCTTAATTCTGTATAGTGTCTGCCCCAAGCCAAAATTGAAAGCTTGCATACTACAATCTTAGCAAACGTTGTATAGTGTTTTTCCTGGGGGACGACATGAAGTGTCGCTTCTTAGGCTTGGCACTGTTTCTATATGCTGAGTGATGAAGCCTTTGCATCAGCATGCCTAAACCACCACGTAAAGCCGACTGAAAACCATAAGGCTTCATCTAGCTTGCCGGAATTTACGATTGTGTTCTTGTGAATATTTATTGGAGGTCGAATAGAGGCCATTGCTCCCGGTCCAGAACGTGATTCCTCGTTTTAGAAAAGTTGAAAGCAGACACCGAATCACTCCTCGAAAGAGAGTTCATCCATGTAGTTGGAAAAAGCATTGCTGGGAATTTCTACGTACCGAGCGAGGAAACTTAACAGTTTGCAAGCTGCAAATTTTGTTCCACTCACCACACATATTCTTACCAATTTCGTCTCACGGAAATCCTGCTTCCTTGGATCGATGTTTGAACATGATGTTGCAGCCAGTTCGTCTATGTACGAAGTGATGGAACCTGACCACGCTGTAAACTCTGAAATACTGTCTCTCCCTACAATGACATCGTATCAGTCGTATCTCAACTTTCTCTGTGCCGTGATATTCCAATGTTGACAACACTTACTGACCTACTGTAATCTCGATAGAGCCACGTCATATTCCGCGTTTTGATTGCTGGGTGAGTGACATGTAAGCGGTTACTCTCTCAATACGCACATAGATGGGCCTTCGTCTTACAAACCCGATGTACTGGAACAGACACACCATTATGTAAAGTCCGCTACATGGCCTTTCCGCTAAAGTCGGGGAATGTGCATATGGTCCCGGGAGTTATGTTTGTTACAAAGCACTGCATCATGCCTCAATAAATAAATGCCAAATACCTCGGAGAAAGTATTCT